TCAGGCTCCCAAGAAGGACCAGTCAGAAAGTGAAGTACAAGAGCTGGTGGTTGCTGGGCATGGTAGTGCACGCCTTTAATCCCAGGACTTGGGAGGCAGAGGCAGGTGGATCTTTGTGAGTTTGAGGCCAGCCTGGTCTACATAGTGAGTTCCAGGACAGCTGGGGCTACAAGGAGACCCTGTCTCAAAAAGAAAAAAAAAAAGAGTTGGTGGGTACAGGTATGAGAGGACCAGGGGTCTAGGCTGTCAGAGGATCCAGGGTCAAGGTTTCAAGGAGATCTGAGGTGACTCCATCCCCTTGGGGACAAGGATAAGTGTAAAACCTCTTTGGCATGGAGTCATCTATGCACTTACAGGTTGAGGGATGGACCATCCTTTCCAGGGGGCATTTGGTCCTTAGGGCAGTGCTCTTCTCTTCAACTTTGACAATCTCAGGGCCTCTGGGAACCCCCAGGCTAAGGCAAGGTTGCCCCACCCACTTGATCTTTCTCATTAAACTGGCCCTTTCCCTCCAGCTTGCTCTCAACAGGCACTAGTTTATTCCTGTGTAACAAACGTTTCCCAAACCTTAGGAACCTACAGTTTAAAAAGCTCATTTCAAGTAGAATATGGTAGCCTGTAATCCCAGCATTTGGGAGGCCAAAGCAGGAAGACTGTGAGTTTGAGGCCAGCCTGGGCTATATAGTGAGCCCCTGTTCTGCATGTCATCCACTGGGCTGGGGTATCTGTCAGTTTCTCTCCACTGGCTGCTTGGTCTTTCTCTAGTCGTGACAGCCAGATTCTAAGAATTGTCCCGGGAGACAAGAAATGTGAGGTTACCTCTGTTGTATCATTGCTCTAGCTAAGATTCAAGGACAAGAGACATAGATCTTCTCCTCTAATGGGACAATACCAAAGAATAGCCATCTAATTAATGGTCCTCCTGCCTCAATTTCCTGAATATTGGGATGTGTGTGTGTGTGTGTGTGTGTGTGTGTGTGTGTGTGTATACAGACCAGAGGTGGTTGATCCAGCTAGATTTCACAATCCCCAGGGAGCCTCCTGTTTCCACCTCCTCAGCACTGGAATTACAGGCCCATATCCTTTTGTGCCAGGTTTTTACATGGGTGTTGGGGATTAGACTCAGGCCTTTATGTTTATGCAGCCAAGTCATCTCCCCAGCCCCAGATTTGCATTATTTGATCCATTTCAACAGCCCCTGCTGTCCCATCCCATGTTTTCCTTTTCCTCTAGGCCTGCAGATCCTGTCTCTGTCCCTACCACCTCTTCCCTGGGCTCCTATAATCTTCCTCAAACCATCCACTACTGGCAGACTCCACCAGTTCCCAGTATCCTGTGACAGTCTGTGTTGCTCTGCTCAAAAACTGCACATGGCTCCCTACTTCCCTCTGAACTATGTACAAGTTCCTGAATGTATCCTCCCAGTTTCTCTCCCAATCTGGCCTCAGCTACATTACAAAATAGATTACCTCCCCTGGTGCCCACCTACCAGCACTCAGATCACACTCCCTGTACCTGGTAAGTTTCTACATCTCCTGTTGAACCCTTCTGAAAATCTGCCTTCTTCCACAAAGCCTCACTTTCACTATGTGATCACACCAGTCTTGCTCTCATTGCCCCCCTTTTTTGTTCTTTTTTTTGAGACAGGGTTCCCTGTGGCCCCAGCTGACCTGGAACTCACTATGTAGACCAGGCTAGCCTTGAACTCACAGAGATCTGCCTGCCTCTGTCTTCTGAGCGCTGGAATTAAAGGCGTGTGCCGCCATGCCCGGTTCTCATTGCCCTTCTTTTGGAGACTGGATGTCAAATATTCTACACTGGTTTTGAACTCACTATGTAGCCAAGGGCAACTTTGAACTCTTCCTAATTCCCCTGCTTTCACCTCCCAAGTGCTGGGATTATAGGAGTGGGCTACCCCATCCCACTAGGCTTCTCTGCCTCATGTCCTTGTTGCAATGCCATGGTATCTTGAGGTGAGGCCCATCTTTATTTATTTATTTATTTATTTATTTATTTATTTATTTATTTATTCAAGCTATGGCTGAGGCCTTATTTATTTTTGGTCTTTTTGAGACAGGGTCTCCCTGTAGCCTCAGCTAGCCTAGAAACTTGCTATGTTGACCAGGCTGGCCTTTGATTTCATCAATTCGCCTGCCTCTGCCTCCAGAGTGCTGGGACTAAAGGTGTGCACCACCACGCTTGGCATCTTTTTTCTTTTCTTTTCCTTGCTTTGTTTTGCTTTTTGAGTCAGGGTTTCACTGTGTATCCCTGAGTAGCCTGGAACTCACTATGTAAATCAGGCTAGCCTCAAGCTCCACAAGATCCACCTGCTTCTGCCTCCAAGCGCTGGGATTAAAGGGGTACACTAGGATGCATGGCTGAGGCCCATGTTTCTAAGTCCTAAGTCACTTTCCTTCCCGCCCTCCCTCCCTCCCTTCCTTCCTTCCTTTCCTTTCCTTTCCTTTTGAGTCAGGGTCTTACTATACAGCCTTTGCTAGCCTGGAACTCATTATGTAGACCAGACTGGCCTGGACCTCACAGAGATCTACCTGCCTCTGTCTCCCGAGTGCTAGGATTAAAGGCATGCACCACCACGATGGGACTCTAACTCACATTTCTTTCGCCAATTTAGTAACTGCTTATTGAGGTCCAAAGCTGGCTGCCAGGGATATGGTAGTGACCAAGACAAGCTGCTTCCTATGCCCAGAAAGCTTGCATTCCAGAGGGGGAAACAGATGGCAATAGAGGAGCCATGAGACATAAGTGATCAAAGATGAGCAGAGCTGTGGGGAGGCAAGAGAGGCTGGGTCTGAGGTTTCTCAGGAGAAAGCAGAGACCTGGATTTTACATAAATGCTCCTGATTTTAAGGCAAGTCTGTCTCCTCTGCTGCTGGAAGCTCCCCTCCTCTGTTGGCCTCCCACTTTCTCTGGCTTGCCTGTAACTTCTTTCTTCCTAGTTGCCCACCCCATCTGCACTACCCACGCCCAGGGTGGCCTCCTTGCAGTCCCTGCCCCAGTGCATCTGAACTCTGTACCTCCCATGTGCTGGACATGCCCTGGGCAGCAGCAAGCAGGAGGGCATATGATCCACTGCCTATGACTAGTGGGCATAGACTGAAGTTCCTAGCCGAGACCCTGGGCCAACCATCCTGGGGTTGGCCTTATGAAGGTTATAGCATACATATATGGAGACTGCTTTGAAAGAGGTATAGGGCCAGCAAAGGGAGACAAGGAGACAAGAGTGCTAAGAGAATTTTCCTGGGTTTGCTGCACAACTCTGACAGGCCCCTGTAGGGTGACTCTGAGTCAGCCCTGCCATGAGGTGTGGAACCAGAGTGACCAAAGGCAGCCTCAGCTCTACTATATGGTAGCTTGGTAACTACGGACAGCTCCCTATTGCCTTCCTGGGCCTTAGTTTTCCCATCTGACCATTGGGAACTGTAGCAGGAGTACCCACCTCATAGGCTAGTGTGCCTGGCAGATGACAGCAGTCAGTGCTCGGCCGCTTTCCAAGGTCTCTGCTGTACAGTCCATGGCAAAATCCTCTCCAGGAAATACCCTAGACAGCATGCCTTCATCTGGGTCCTCTCAGGTCTTGAGCTGCAGAGATAGTGATTATTCATGCTCTGGACCCTGCCAAACCAGAAGGCAGAGGCCTCTGAGAGATATAGAATTCTAATGACAACTGTCACATCTTGGGGGACAGCGGGACAGCTAGGCCATCCCAGAGGAGCACCAAGAAACATCCTGTCTTGGGGCACCATGCTCCTTCACCCACTGTCCTCAGCTCAGAACACTGGTCTCTTTTTAAAAAAAAAAAAAAAAATCAGGACCTGTATTTTATTTTAATTTTTATGTGTATGTATTGCCTGCATGTAGATAAGTGCACCCATGTCATGCCATGCCCACGGAGGACAGAAGAGGCTGTCAGAGCCCCTGGAACTGGAGTCACAGACAGTTGTTAGCTCATGTAGGTTCTGGGATTCAAACCCAGGTCTTCTACAAGAACAGCCAGTGTTCTTAACTGCTAAGCCATCTTTCCAGCCCCTGAAGTTTCATTTTTAAGACCTGGAGGTTCTGGACCAGTTTTGGGTCTGGAGAATCAGTACTGACCTTGTTGGAGTGAGAACCTAGGATGGGAAGACCAAGGGGCCAGTCACTCCTGGAGGAGGGACCTCCTACTTCCGAGCCCCCAGGGCAGAGATCTTGCAAAGTGATCCTCAGAGGGTCTGCTGCTGGCTATGATACTTACTTCCATTTCCTCAGATCCCCAGGCTTCAGCGCAGGTGGCAGAGGCTGTGAGGGTGAGTACTGTGCCCACTATGTCCTGCTTCTGATCAGCTGAGCCCAGAGTGCTCCAGCACAGCAGGGTTTATTTGTTAAGCATGAGTGTTGAAGCTTCCTGGATCTGCCAGCCCTGGAAAGGACAACATTGAGGACAAGTGGGCCAGGTGGCTGGCATCTCTGGTTGGGAAAGAACAGAATCTCAGGCTACCCACTCAGGCAAGTCGTTTGCCCCTAGCCCGCACATGTCAGGACACTGTCTTGTTCCAGGCCAGGAGACCAGTCGATGGAGCTAGGTCATTTGCTGGAGCAGTGAGGGCTGGGGTGGGGAATAATGCAGAGGGGACACAAGATCCTCGTGCTTCCTCATACTGGATCCAGGCAGCTGGGACACTTGAGTCTGAGCTAAGAGCATACTTCGGGTGATGCCCACTTAGGGCAGAGTTGGGGCCTCCTGACTCCGCCCCTGGATAGGCGGGCTTATTTGCATGGCCCCGCCATAGAGCGGCCATTGGCGCCGGCAGCTGGGGGCCGGGCCTGAGTGGCTGCGCAGCCTGTGGGGCGGCGGGGGCTGGGCTGTCTCCGAGTGCCTGAGATGCTGCTGCTGCTGCTGCTGCTGCACTGGTTCGGGTCCGAGTCCCGCTTGTGGGGTACCGGGCGTTGGACGGTTCGGAACGCAGTGGCGGCAGCAGCAGAACATTGAGAACCATGTCCAGGAAGAAGACCCCCAAGAGCAAGGGTGGCAGTGTGCCTGCTGCTTCTGCCCTGCCCGCCACCAACGGGTCCCTGTCGGCGCGCCCGGGGACTACGCGCCCTGGCCGGGAGACTCCGCCCAACGGGCCCCCGCAGTCCGGCCGGCCCTCGCTGGGCGGCAGTGGCGACTTCTACGACGTTGCTTTCAAGGTGAGCCAGGCGCCTCCCCGCTAGGCAAGTGCAGCAGGTGGCGTCGGATCCCAGACCACCGGGAGGGGGCCTGGAGGAAGAGTGCAGGGCTGTAGGGACCCTCGCCACCGAAGTGGCCAGAGCGGCACCCTACAGCTGGCACGGCCAAATTATGCATTCATTCTCTCTCTCTCTCTCTCTCTCTCTCTCTCTCTCTCTCTCCTCTCTCTGACACACGCGCGCGCGCGCGCACACACAGACACACACACAGACACACACACGGAGCTGTCAGGCTCGGGTTTGGGGTATTCAACAGCTGGCAGAGCCTGGCCCAGCCCCCCAGCCCCGCCAAGTGGAAGGCCAAACAAGGCCCCACAGGTGTCCCTCCTTAACCCTTGTGCCCTACCCATGCTCCAGGCTCATCAGCTTCCATCCATATACTGCCTTCCCTCACTCCCTGGGATCCTGGGTCTCCTTTTTCTGGGAGGAAGGAGGAAGAGGCCTCCTCCATACTAAAGCAGAAGCTTGTGTGAATTTGGCCCTGGAAAGACAGGATCATCTTTGGGTTCTAGCGCATTTTGCAGCAGGGTGGGTGAGGGAGGGAGAACCCTTGGCTGTCTGCCCCTCAGGCCCACACATACCCCTAGCCCCTCCTCAGGCCAAAAGCTGACCCTGGTACACCTTTCCTGAGCCTTGCTGCTGGGATTTGTGTATTTGTTGGAGTTTGAAGCCCCTGACACTGAGCCCTCACAGGTCCTTTAGGAGGTCCCAGGTACACATCCATGGCTCTGCTCCCCATTAGGCCCCAAATACATTTCTCTCAGATCAGGATGGTGCCCATGGAGAAGGGGTGGGTAGGATCCTGGATGGAGGCAGCTGTGCCACCCCCCCACCTCCACACATTGTTCTTTGAAAGAGGTAACATGGGACTACTAGGGGCAGAAGTTGGAGGGTCCAGGCAATTGGAGACCATGGCTGCTGTTTCCCCAGGTTATGATGAACCTGCAGGCCTGGAATAACCCTCTCTTCTGACCCTCACTTCTAGAAGTCTTCAAGTAGGCAAGGCCCTCAGCTGCAGGCCTGACACTTCTGACCCTCCTGCTTGCCCTAGGTCATGCTGGTAGGGGATTCAGGAGTGGGGAAGACCTGCCTGCTTGTGCGCTTCAAGGATGGAGCTTTCCTGGCTGGTACCTTCATCTCCACTGTGGGCATTGACTTCCGGGTGAGAGTAGAGGCTGATGTCCAGCTGTGTCATGGTTCTTCCACACCCAGTCCTCCCAGTACCCTGGCCAGCTGGTTCTCCATCTCCCAGTGTGTCCATAGGCCTGAGATGAGCTTAATCACAAAGCCAGCTGCCTCCCAACACCTGAGGGTCCTGGGGAAACCTCCCAATACCCCAAGGTAGTAAAACTATATTCAACTGAAGAAGAATTCTCATGCCAGAGGCTGCTGTAGGGTGGTGGCAGTCAGGGAACTCCAAGCCTGTTCACTTAGGAAGCCAGTATTGCTGTCCCATCAAACAGGGGACCCAAGGCCATGGGAGGTGCTGTGCATGCACCCAGGTCCTACAATGTGGTACAGCCTGGGAGAGGGTTTCCCAGGGCTTGCTTAGGGAAAAGGTCCCTGACTTTGTGTATGGAGACCTTTTAGGGATCCCAAGCAAGGCCCTGGGGACTCTGCTATCAAAGCCCCCCCAACCCACCCATCAGTCAGAATCCCACATGCTGAGGTGCTGGTGTGTTTTTGGCAAATCCTGTATTTGCATTTTTCTCACCTTTTAATTAGACCCAATTAGCAGGAGGTTGGGAGGAAGGCCCATTCTGGGGACAGGAAAGGGGGGTGCACTCTCCTGTCTGGGAAACCATTTTCTATCCTGATTGAGGGACTGCAGGTTCTCTCGTGCCCTCTGGGTTGAAGTAAAGGGTGAATGAAGTGCCAGAGTAGGCCGGACAGGCTTGAGAGCAGGTGAACCTTGCCTGTCCTGGTCCTGGTCTCTTGCCCCTACTCCCCCACCCCTTGGCTTTAGGGCAGACTGTGAGGTGGGGCTGTTTGATTTGTGCCCCAGTTCAGGGTGCAGGAAAGGCAAAGTATCTTCCTTAGCTGGGCAGATGGCCGAGCCTGGTTCCCCGGAAACCTAGAAGTACCCTGACAGTAGGAGCTTGGGAGGAAAGGGGAGCCAGGCCCAGTCATCCATGGCCTCAGCCTGGGGCCAGCCCTCTTCTCCACCTGGGATGGGGCCACTTCAGTTTGGTGTCTAATCTTGGGACCAGTCTAGGAGTTCTGCAGACAGCAAGTTCATGGATATCTACTATATATGAGGCTCTGTGGTTACAGCACAGGGTCAGATAGGTATAAGCTGAGCTACTGGAGAATGAGTGTCCCAGTCAGAGGCTTTTTTTTTTTTTCTTCAAATGAGAACAAATTAAATTAGCTTCTCTGGGCAGAATGTGGTTCTCAGTGCACACAGCTCATTAAGTTAAGTTCAGCTATCCCCATCTGCAGGTAGGGAAACTGGCACAGTATAGCAGATCTGTTGTCATACTATTGATGCTTCAACTAAGCCAGTACAAGTGATTGTAGGCAGGAACAGTGCACTACGAGCACTGCACTCTTGACAAGTGGGAAGGGGGACCCTGTGTAGGGAGAGGAGATGGCAAAGGCCAAAACTGGACACAGCTGGCCTTGGAGTGACAATCTGAAATCAGGGCCTGGTGGACAGGCTTTGTACATAGGGCCGCCTTGAGAGGATCTCCCAGGGGATTGTTGTGGAAGGCACCAAAGCAGAGAACCAGGCAGCTGCTGGGGCATCTGGGTTTAAGCAAAAGTGTAACCAGGCAGGCAGGAGGGTTAAGCAGGAAGCTAAGCAGGAAGAAAACCAGGAGGTGCTGTGGGAGTGGGATAGAGGTTTCCCAATCTCCCTATCACTGGGGCCTTAGTCTTAGCTTGCATTACTCCTTCTCTTAGCCTACCCCTGAGAGCCCCCAGGACAGAGGATGGCATGCATCCTTATTGGCACTGGCTGGTTCTGTTTCAGAACAAAGTTCTGGAGGTGGATGGCGTGAAGGTCAAGCTACAGGTGAGGTGACTGGTGGTGTGCAAACTGGGGGCTGGAGACACCAGGGAGGGGCTGGGCAGTATGACCAGTGTCTATTGCCACAGATCTGGGACACAGCTGGCCAGGAGCGGTTCCGCAGTGTCACCCATGCCTACTACCGTGATGCTCATGGTGAGCCCATGGAGTCTGGGACTGCTCAGGGCTGCCTGGGGTGTCTGTGGGACAGCAGGGGAGAGGGTATTGCTGTCATATCCTGTGTGTTTAAGTGGGTAGCAGGGAACCACTGGGACTTAGGGGTGTCCTCATTGCTTTGTTTCCAGCACTGTTGCTGCTCTATGATGTCACCAACAAGGCCTCCTTTGACAACATCCAGGTTAGTGGTGTTCTTGGTGGGTGAAACTGGTTATGATGGTCCAGATGGCCATCAGGGTCCTTAGTTCTGAAGACTGCTGACAGCAGGGGTGGGGATTGATGAGCCCCTGTGGGCTCAGGGTGGCCATGTTGGGCATGAGCTAATGTGGGCCTGGGTAACATCAGGCTCCAGTAACAGAACACTTGGATAAGGTACCAGTGAGGTGGGCATCTCCGCTCCACATATGGGAGGGCTTCTAGAAAAATTTGGTGTGGCCCAGGAGGGCAAGGAGGACTAGCCCTGAGCCTGGTCCCAGCTTTCCCCACACAGGCATGGTTGACAGAGATCCAGGAGTATGCCCAGCGGGATGTGGTGCTCATGCTGCTGGGGAACAAGGTGGGCATCTGGGTCTGTTCTCTCCAGCCTGGTCCCATAAGACAAACCATGAGTTTGGCAGTAACAAAAATTCTGTGCCTGGGCCAGGTGGACTCTACTCAAGAGCGTGTGGTAAAGAGGGAAGATGGGGAGAAGCTAGCCAAGGTGAGTCAAAGGTGGGTCTTTAGGGTGTTCTTGGGGCCGTGACACCTGGGCTACCCCCATCAGGCCAGCACCCAGCTGGCAGCAGCTGTTTGCAGGAGTACGGGTTGCCTTTCATGGAGACTAGTGCCAAGACCGGCCTCAACGTGGACTTGGCCTTCACAGCCATAGCAAAGTAAGTCCTAGTAGTAAAGATCCTCCCAAGGCCCAGAGTCTAAACCCTTTTGCAGGGGGTTACATATAGGCCACCTTATTCCATTGTCACTCCTGCTCTTCAGGGAGTTGAAACAGCGGTCCGTGAAGGCACCCAGTGAGCCCCGCTTCCAGCTGCACGACTATGTTAAGAGGGAGGGTCAAGGGGCCTCCTGCTGCAGACCCTGATCCTGGCTCAGTTCCACTTGGAAGAAGCAGTCCTGTCAGGTTGGACGGGAGTCTATAGGCCTTCTGACTTGACCCAGCAGGTGCCCCTAGGGCACCCATTTCACCCCAGTGGTTATGTCCTTGGTCCCATAAAGGTCACAAGGCCAACACTGAAAAAAGGTCTTAGGTATCAGAAATGTACAGCCATACCATGGTCTTTTGTTGCCCCCTCCTGGGCACTTCCAGCTGAGCAGGCCCATGGACAGGTCAGAACATGTACAGTGCCTAACCTCTAAGAAAAGCCATGTGTTCACTTGACACTGCTCAGGCAGGACCCCAACCAAGGACAAAAGGCTTCATTGCTATTCATTGTGCTTTTGTGAGCCCCAAGGACTACAACAGTCAGCTTCCAGACTATCCACTAGGAGGCTCTCTGACAAAGTAAAGAATACATGGAAAACCACAGAAATACCAGGAAGCTAGGGCTGTGTCACCACTATGAAGGCTGGTGACCCAACTGCTCCAGAGCTGAAAGTGGTGGTTGCCAAGCCCTCCCTGCCTTGATTTCTAATTGCAAGCCTGTTTTCAGTCCCAGTGAATAAAGATGTGTTTTCTGGAGTTTGTGTCATATCCTGAAGAAAACTGACTTCTAGGGACTGGAGAGATGGCTCAGTAGTTAAGAGCCCTGGCAGAGTATCTGACACCCACTTCTGGCTTCCATGGACACTGCATACACATGGTCCACTTACACAACACTCATATACATAAAATACCAAAAAAAAAATAATAAAAATCAAAATTAGAAGCCATATAGCAGAAGGAAATTGTCCTGTATCCACTTGTGTGCACCCAGCACTTGGGAAGCAGGTGGATCTGAGTTCCATTCCAGCTGGGGCTACATATATTGAGACTCTGCCTCAAAAATAATTTAAAATTAACTTTTAGAGGGTCTGGAGAGATGGCTTAGTGGTTAGAAGCACTGACTTCCTAAAGACCTGGGTTCAAATCCCAGCACCCATACAGGTAGCTAACAATGGTCGGCAACTGCAGTTCTAGGGGGTTTGACACCTCTTCTGTCCTCCAAGGGCATTGCATGACATGGGTACATACACATAAAAATTTCACCGGGTGTGGTGGCACACATCTTTAATCCCAGCACTCGGGAGGAAGAGGCAGGCAGATCTCTGTGAGTTCAAGGCCAGCCTGGTCTACATAGTGAGTTCCAGGACAGTTAGGGCTACAGGGAGACCCTGTCTCAAAAAGACCCCCCCCCCCAAAAAAAACCAAAAAATTGAAGTCTTAGATTCAGTGAGGCCCAGACTTCGGCTTAAGACAGGTGAAGTCCTCCACAACCTATGACCTCTTTGAAGCCCAACTTTCTTTAGATGGACCACGTGGGAACCCTGACTACTACTAGAGTCAAGTTTTCTCTCTAAGGTCAAAGTCAAATAAAGTGGTACCTGATGGCCTGTTACTGAATCACAGCTAGTGAAAGACTATATCCTTAAGAGCAGGATAATAGCTGGGCATGATGGAGCACACCTGTAGTCTCAGCACTCAGGAGGCGGATGTCTCCTTTGAGTTCCAGGCCAGTCCCCACTACAGGGAGACCTGTCTCAAACACATACACAAAGGAGAGCCTGTTGTGCCCAGTGAATGGTTCCCCAAGAATCACCACGGAGTCCAGAGAGCATGCAAAGTGTCTTTATTCGGGCTTAAGCTGGGGCTCCCAGAGCAATTAGCAAGGAAGAATTACAGCATTCGCCCACCAAGCTGAACTGAGAGCCCTGATTGCAGGGAGAGGAAGCTTTTAATAGGTCCTAGACAAAGGGAGAATAGTCACATCTTGATTGGTCCAAGGAGCCTGCACGTGCCAACACTTTTGAATTGATTGGTTACAAGGGATGTAGTCCTGGAAGTTTCTCATTGGTGGGTGCTACCCTCAGGGCTGTGGGGCCAGAAGTCTCTCTTTGTTCCTACCTTATAAGGATGCTATATGCCTGGGCTTGCTTGACCTATAGCCTCCTGGGGTGGGGGTGGTAGGTGGAGATTACAACATGCCTGGGCATGTTCAGGCTTGCCTGAAACAGCTAGTCAAAATGGGGTCAATACAGTTTGTCCTTTCAGCCAAGCAATCAGTTTACAGAAGCGAAAAAGAGCAGTTAGTCCTAAAGAGGGGCAGGGGTCTCGGGAGTCCAGGGCAGGGGGACAAGGAGGGATTCACATTTTCCCCTCTTTGTAGCTTAGAGAAGACCCAATCATGGGTCTAGGTTGGGGTCCCTATAAGGGGTTCTAAGGGCTGATACAGGGACCTCAGGACCACGAGTTGTACTGTACTCACCCGTTCTCTAATGAAGGCAATCAGCTGATTGATGATACATGGCCCAATAGTTAACATTAATAGGAGGATTATGGATCCGGTTAAGGCTGAGAGCAAGGTGGTGAGCCAGGGAGATCAATTAAACAGTTGTTCGTACCACCCTGGGTCCTTTTGTTCTCTACCCTTGATACATTTCCTGAGTAGAGCTATAGAATCTCTAATCACACTAGAATGGTTAGCATAAAAGCAGCATTCTTCTTTTAAGGCTGCCCACAAGCCCCCTTGTTGCATAAGAAGGAGGTCAAGACCTCTTCTATTCTGTAAGGTGACCTCAGCTAATGAGTTTAGGGATTGTTCTAATTTAGACTGTTCCAGACTCCTGAGATCTGCATCAATCGCTACCTGGAGAGCTTTGCAGTTTTGGTCCTGTAAAATTAAGGCCGAGGTGCCCACTCCAGTCACTCCAGCTATATCTAGACCAATTAAGGAGGATAACAAAATGGCTCTCTTAGTTCTGGGGGCAGAAAGGGGTGCGTAGGCTAGTTCCATCTGGGTTTCTTCATAGTAAGTCATCTTGGGGAATAGCTGTACCATGCATGACACAGTAGTAACCTTTCATATTATTAAGGACGGTCCTGTGAATGCAGGGGTTCAAACCAGTAGAACAAGCCCAACATCCAGAAGTGGCAGAGTAATAAGTATTTGAAACAGAGACTACGTGGCTACATAGCCCTGGCGGGACCTGGGCACCAGGGGGCAGGGCACAGGTCTCTGCCCCAGTTACTTGCTGGAAAGATTTCCTTGCTGTCCCCAGGTACATTGGTTACTATTAACTTGGGAGTAGTTACCTATTACAGCTATGCCCACATAGAAGGGTGGCTGGGCACTCAAACAGAGCCAGCACTCCACAGGTTCGGCTTAGAGGCATTGAGCATCTCGAAAGTGGAGGTGACCAGTGGCCAAATAGGGTGGTCTGAGGGTGAAGCTGTAGGTGTCCCCGCAGCTACTGCTGTCCTCCCAGAGACTGTTGTACTTTCCCTCAGAGGCGGGGGCTCAGGGCTGGAGTTAGGTTCTAGGGGCTGGATGGGGACCAACGCCTTGGGGTATCAGAGAGGTGGGGGTTTCCTTTCTGAGGATGATAGTGAAGAACCCCCCTGGGCTCAGGTTTAGAGTTCTCAATCCCCAGGTTTTCCCTACCTCCCAAGTGGTGTCTCTTTTTCCTATATCAGTAAACACCACCTTAACAGGGTTGCAGCCTGTTTTTGTAGGAACCCTCCGCCCACGATAAATGGCATCAGGAGTGTTGTTACAGACAACCTTGATAAGATCATCTTTAACGGGGGCTGTCCAATAGATGTCTCCTGTGCTCACACAGTCCCAGGATTTACAAAAATAATCACTGGCTCCCCCACATCGTTTCTCCCAGTCTCTTCCTCTGCTCCCAGGACAGACATAGTAATAAGCATGACGCAGGCCCCAATGGCTCTGTCCAGAGAGCAAGCAGTGGAGGTCGAAGCCTAGCTCTGGGTACCAGGTGTTTAGTGGGGCAATCTTGGATATCTGGACCAGGATGTCTCTGGTAGAGGTGTCCAGGAGCTGCCAGGTGAGATTGTAAGGCTGATGAGGGTTAGCAGTTATACATACATTCATTCCAAACAGCAGGGTAAACATCAAGAGCAACACAGCCTCCGCTTGAGGGGATTGTCTGCGTCCTTGTGGACCTTCCACCTTGTAGGATCCAGCATAGAGGTCGGCAGAGGGTGATTAGTCCTAAAGAGGGGCAGGGGGCCAAGGAGGAGGGTTTCACAAGCTGAGTAATACAAGTCTTTTTATCTTATGGGAAAAAATGGTTGACAGTATGGCTCCTACCCTTTGTAGATTACATGGGGACAAGCCAGGCCTCTAAGGTGTGTTAACACCTAATGAAAATAATGACACGAGAAAGGAATTAGACTCTTTTTATTGCTAAGAGGTTTAGATACACAGACAAACGCCTTACCCACGTCGTTCTGTCCGTTGAGCCTCTGGTTTAGGCTGATTTATATCCAAAGTCTGCATCTGGCTCACCACTTCCTGTAAGTCAAACAGCAACCAATGTAGGCAGGAACCCCCATTCCGTGGAATTTCTCACCCCCAACACGTCCCCTTTAAGGCAGAGCACCCAAGCCTCAGTTTTGGAATGTAATCAGACTGCACATGCAGTTTTCATACGAGGTGTCAGAAAGTAAAGCAACTCATCACTGGATTGGTGCTGCAAAGGGAAGCCTAGGCCCGACCCAGTCTTACCTGCAGTAAGGGGAATCAGGAACTATAGGGGAAAACAAACTTTTGGGACTAAAGCAAAGCCCAGGTCACCGCCGCACCCGAGGATGGCTGGTCTGGGTTGAAGGAACCCCTTAAGTATCAATCGGAGACCAGCGTTTTTGTGAAAATGTGCCCCACAAAGCCAGCACAGACACGGAACACCTCTTCACACTCAATCCCGAAAGAACTATAGGGCCGAGACGCAAGCTTTTATAGACCTGTCGTCATGTCTGTGATTGGGCAGTCTCGGAGGAAGTACTTGCCTTCCCCCGCCGCTGATAGACTCCGCTCGCCATCCGGCTTTTTCCACCCATCGTTCCGCGGTATTGCTTTTGGAGGCGGCATCTCCAGTGTGAGCAAAGCTCCTCCCTTCGTGGAAGCCACTGTGAGCAACGAATGTATTTATCCAATCAAATTGGATCTGCAACATAAATTGATTCTGAAGCCGCCAATCCCGCCCTGCAGTGCCGGGGTCGCCGGAAGTCGTAGTTTAGAAAGCGCCAAGCGCGATGCTCAGGTCAGAGTTCCTTGAATCCGAGAACTACAAGTACCGGCGGGCCCTGCACCCAGGCGCTTCCGGCTGGTGCGTCCGGTATCTTTCCCGGCTGCTGGCCGAGGGGGCACGATGATGCGAGAGGGTGTTGCCGCCGCTCTCTGGCAGCCGCGGGCGGGTGAGTGTCCGCGCGGCGTGCCGCTCTGGGGCTTGTTCTCCTGGGCCTCGCGGCGGGGCGCGGGCGGGCGCGGGAACATCGCGGGGGGGGGGGGGGGGGCCCTGGTTTTGGGGGGGGGGCCGAGAAACCTGGAGGCTCACCAGTCCCACACCGGGGCCCCTTCTTTCAGGTCTTTGTTCATTCTTTACTTT